CAAACATCTATTTGTGTGTGAGAGAGAGAGAGAGAGAGAGAGAGAGAGGGAGAATAATGCTGTTTTGGAGGATGAGGGTAACGATAGAAAAACTGATTGGTTCATTTCCAGACTGACTCGTGGCTTACATTCTTGAAATTGCTTCTGCATTTTTCCTTCTTTCGGGGTTTGGGAAGGGAGGGGGCGTGATTGCAGTGTGAACGGCGGGGCATAAGACATAAGACGTTGCTTGCAGAATCGCAATTCTGTTTTCTTTTCTAGTTTCACAATCTGAAACACACTGGAACCTACGAAGAGGAATGACGACTTCATAAGAGAACTTTCCTACAGTTGCTTTCTTTCCTTGTTCCGAATCATGATGCCCCCAGCCAATAATGTACCATTCACTTAAGATGGGATTTACCCTGGGAAAGGGATATCCAAACCATGAATCCTGAGCATCTTTTCAGCCTCTTACTTGTCCGTTATTTTTGTTAGACTTCTGTGTACATTGTTAGCAGAAACAATTCTACTGCCTTGCTCAGCTTGAGCCTTCCTACTCCTGTTGAGCCTTCAAGTGCGCTGATTCTTCTGCATCATGGCTTCAGTGTGGAAAAGACTGCAGCGTGTTGGGAAACATGCATCCAAGTTCCAGTTTGTGGCCTCTTATCAGGAACTGATGGTTGAGTGCACCAAGAAATGGTAAGGAGCGTCTTCAGTTGAAATGAGCTGCTGATGCCTGAACATCACTCTTGCCTCTTCTGCTGATGATTATAGCATCTCCTCTCCAGTGGGACAATAGGCAATTGGAGAATAATTATTCCTCTTTTGTTAGGATTGCTGCTAGAGAGTCATCATATCAAGTACCCATTAGCTTTGTGCATTTTTCTTGCAAAGCTGTAGGGCTTTTTTTGTTTGTTTGTTTGTTTTAATAGTTACCACAACAGGGTCTTGGCAGCCCCACAACTTGATAGCTGGTATCTGCCAGAGGCTGAGAATGCAATTTATTACACTCAGTGTACTTCTGACTTTGGGCAAAACATAATTCTTTTGCCATTCCAGAGGAGAAGAGGAAAAGTCAAGACTTGGCCTTGAGAATTCTCTTAAGTTATTTGCTTAGTCAGACAAGGATTCCAGCAGCCCTCGCCCAAGGAAATATAGTTTAAGTTGGCTAGCCTGTCCTGAGTAATCAGCTGCGTGAACCTAGTCTCAGATGCTTGGCTTCATTCTTGCCAAGTGGGCTTTCCAAAATACTAGGCATATGTGTTCTGCTCTTCTTCACAGAAAAAAAAGGCAGAAGCCTATCTTGTCGCTGAATCAGTCTTTTAAAAAAATCAGTCTCTTGGACAAACTTTACATCTGTGTTCTCTACTCTTTTCTGCCTTGTCAGTTTAGCAGATTTTTGACCCTTCTTCAGAATAGATCGTGTGGGAAATGGGATGGGTTGATTCGTTTTCAGATTCTTGCTGTACAGCTTACCTCATGTGCAGGATACTTAATTATTGTATTTCTGTGGCACTTCAAATTGTTCAACATACTTCTGCGTGAATTATCATGTTATATTTATACCAACTCTGCAGTATTATTATTCCAGAGTTACAGATTATTATTATTAGATTTTTATCCTGCTTTTTATGGGGTAGTTTGGATCTAAAAACTAATAGCTTACCTAACCTTCTCCCCATAGAATCCATTCATAGTGGTCCTGAGTTTGAATTATTTGTAGCCTGGCCTGGTTTGGGGAAAATGCATAGTTAACTTTATCATATAATCATGGGCAAATTTATTTTCTCAGATTAGGGTATGGTGTGAGTACAGAGCTCCTTACTATTACGCATACTTAAGGTATGAGGAGTTGACCATGAATTTCCTACATAATGCAGTTCACAAAAAACTTCATCCAAGACCCCAGCTGACACTGATTCTTCAGTGAGTTTACTTACCAAAGCTTTTGCACTTTAACAAGTTCCCAGGAATTCAACAGGTGAACTTTGTTACTTTGTAGGTATTAAACCATGGTAAAAATGTCAGGCTAACCATAAGGATGACAGAGAACTTACTTTTTGCCATATTCTGTGTATATATGTTCTTTTCCACAAAATTCCTACCTTTTTCCAATTGAATAAGTTATCTTAGTATGAATTCTCAGAAGTGTTCTCAAACAGCCAGTTTCTGCTTTGTGAGAAAAGGAAGTTTCTTCTACTGTACAAAACAAGGTGCTGGCCAGTTCATTATAGAAACTGATTTCAGTGAAAATACAGGTAGTCCTCGATTTACGACCATTCATTCAGCGACTGTTTGAAGTTACGACAGTGCTGAACATAGGGACTTATAACCTGTGCCTGAAGTTACAGCCGTTGCAGTGCTCCTGCATTCACATGATCACAATTTGGGCGTTTGGCAGCTCACCCACATTTTTGATTGCAGGGGTGCTTCAGCTCCCCCCCCACTGGCCTATCTGCCCCCCATCTATGCTCCCTTGGCCCCTGCCGCCCTGTGCTCTGCTGCCTCAGCTGATCTTCACTGCTGTCTTCTTGCTTCCGCTGCTGACAAGGTGTACCCAGCTGTGGTGCCAAAAAAAAAAAAAAAAGCCAAAAGGAGCTCCTGAGCCATGGCGCACCAAAAAGCCCCTTTGCAAAAAGCTCCTGGGTGGGGCTTTTTGGTGCGC